CTAGCAAAGTTGCTGAACTGTACAGTCTACCATAATGTTATTGTGAAAGAACTCAGTGACTGCCAGTTTACTGTTAACCAGGTTTAGAGTACATGTAATGATATAAGATCTGTTTGGTATAGAACATGGATATATGACGCTCTCTTTTCATGTGTGTACTTCTTACCAAAGAAATAGGATACTCCCTTGCGCATGCCACTGTACCATGACCAATCTTAATACAAAAGGCCCAGTTATGGAGTTTCTTCCTTGTTCAGTTATAGTCAATAGCAAGCTTTTTAACCTTCTGGAGACAGCTGAAGGTTTACTCAGACATTTGGTTTAATTGGTGCTACTTTATCTGTCTAGATTAGATTGCTATTCTTGTTTTATGTGTTACATTTAATGGTTGTTAGAGCTATTGAATTATTATTAGTGTTTTTTTAACTCATTGTGAATTATTTGTTATTCTTGTAACAAATCGTAGCCTGCTTTGAAATTGTTTTTAATATGAATGTACTAAATATATAATGACACAAATGTGTTAATATGGTTGCATCAGTCTTCTTCTTGCTTTTATTTTTTTTATACAAGATAAGATTTATAAACACATATAGATAAAATTGCATTCTGTGAATGATTTTGGGTATAAAATAAAATGCTAGTGTAAATTAGTAAGAACACAGTTAAATTATTTGTTTTTTAATTTAATATGTATTTTAATGGTAATTTAAAAATCAAAAGATAAGAAGACAATCTAAATAGGAATCTCACTGCTTCAGGAAAAGTGAAAGAGAAGGAGAACAAAAAGATCAAGCTTTAAAGGTCTTCTGCTAGGAGCAAACCCTATCTCTGAGGGAAGCTTTTTGAGCGTCTTCTCAATTATTGTGTGGAAGGCAAAACGGAAAACTCATAAATTGATTACTGTGGTTTTTGTGACCTGTTTATCTTTCTTTAAAGTGTTTCTGGTTATATTTGGGTCATACCAGAGTTGTACATCTCCCTCCCTTGAGTGTTATGTGCTTTCTTAAAACTTGGATTAATGTATTCTCTTCAATACTTTTTTCTCTTTTTCAAATATTTTTTATTGAAGTTTTAACTTTAATAATAAAATATAATACAAACTAATGAAAAAGAAATATAAAGAAAAGATGCAAGACAACAAAAACAAAAGTATAGAGAAATGAAAAAACCAAGAAAGCAACTTCCCACCTTCATCCCAAGTATAAGCAATTTCACCATCTCTTTACTTCCTCTTAATTAATACATTCAGAACTCTTTATTCTATAAGTCAAATCATCCCATACTCAATTTTTAACTATTGGCAAATCCAGCAAGCAGTGTGTGCTTCTCCACTCACTCACATGTACACATAATGATGGTTTAGTGGGTTTATTAATATTCCCCAGATGGTGAAGTTCCCTTCATCAAAAATCCAGAACTGCCCAAATTAAGTCCAGCCAAAAGCAAACCAATGCTAGTTCACAGAGCAATGAGTCCACAAGGCACTTGAAAGTTTCCCAGATAAGATAAATCCACCAGGCAAAATTAAATCCACAACACAGGAGGATTCACAAGGCAAGAAAAGTCCAGTGTTCGCAAGGAACAATCCAAAGTTGTTGTCAAATCCAAAGGCAAGAATCACAACAACCAGGAAACACACTGCTGGGAAATGAACACATCGTTCCCAACATTGTCTCTATCTGGATAAGCCGTGGGAGCACAGTGGTTAGAGTGCAGTACTGCAGGCTACTTCTGCTGAGCGCTGACTGTCTGCAATTTGGCAGTTGGAATATCCCCAGGCTTAAGGTTGACATAGCCTTCCATCCTTCCAAGGTCGGTAAAATGAGGACCCAGATAGAGACAATGT